AAAATATTGCAAATGTTATATTAAGTGTGCCTAAATTGAGATATTTCAGGTTGACATTTGGCTAACAAAATGAACATACTCTGGAAATCAAATCTATAGTTAAAATAATTGTTTTCTCGAATAGTTCATCTGTATGGTCTTCCTCTTTATTATCAAAACACATCCCTAAACACCAGTGATATTCAAAATACCTAATCATAGGTGTGGCATAGTGCATTGTCCTATCAGAACATACGTTTTCACTTTTGTCAGGCATGAACATTTTAGGTGCTGGATGCTGGAGAAATCTGAATGTCTCAGGATGGGGATGAAGAGAGCATCTGGGGAAGAAGTGGGCCCAGGATAGCAATTATTTGTCAATAACTGCTAGTACATTTCTGTAGCATTCTGTACTTAATCATTGCTATATTTTAACAGTCTCAGACAAATGTCAATCTTGCTAAAAGTTCATTTATATTAATAGGTAGTATGAGAATCATGGTGCTTAGAAATTTAGATGATTCTAATCTAGTGGTAGAACAGAAGGGTTTAGAAATTTTCCCAATTGGAAAGAAGTCTCAGGCTTGCCAATTAATCTGTAATTTAAGCATGAATATTTCTAGCCCTTCTAGTCATTGGAATAAATGAGAGGAAATGTTAGTATTTTTATGTTCCCAGTACTTCATAATCTCATTTAATTCTCTCAGTAACCATGTAGGAAAGTATAATCTTTTGTGAGGAGCTGCCATTAATAAAGTATCACAGACCGGATGGCTTAACCGATAGACATTTATTTCCTCAAAATCCAAAATCAAGGCGTCAGCAGAGTTGTTTTTATTCTGAGGTCATTTTCCTTGGGTTGTAGGTGGCCAATGTCGCTGTCTTCATGTGGCCTTCTCTGTATGTGTTTGTGTGTGTGAGTGTGTATGTGTGTCTGTGTTCAAAGCTCCTCTTTTTACGAAGACACCAGTGATCCTGAATTAGGATTTGCCCTAATGACCGCATTTAGCCTTAGTTACTCTTTAAAGATCTTATCTCTATAGTCACATTCTGAGGTAATGAGAGGACACAATTTGGGCCATAACAGGAAGTTAGTAATATCCTTCCCCGCTTGTAAGTTTCTAAAAATACTTTTAAGTCAATTTTATTAAAGTATATCTTATATACAAAAACATACACAGTTTATGTGTATAACTTGCGTTTTGGCAAATATACACACACGTAACCAACACCATAATCAAACTACGGAACATTTTATCATACCAAATAGTTTCCTTGTGCTTCTTTCCTGGCAGTTCGATTCCTGGCTCTGGGCAGCCGGTGGTCTGATTTCTTTTCTAGCAATTCATATCATGAAGCCATGAGATATGTGCTCCACTGTGTCTAGCTACTTTTGTGTAGCACAATGCATATTGTTGTTGAGATATATCCATTTAATTGGGTATATCAGTAGTTTCATTTTATTGCTGAGTGGTATTCAGTTGTATGACTACAACACAATTTGTTTCTTTAGTGTTTATAGCTTTAGGCTGGTATGAATACAGCTACTATGAACATTTGGTTATAGGTATTTGTATAGCCAGGATAAATGTGTTTATTTTTCTTAGGTAAATATATAAAAATGGCAATCATATGAGACCTTTATGTTTAACTTCTAAAGAAACTGCCAAATTGTTTTCCACATGGTTGTGCAAGTTTACATTCCCACTAGCAACACAGGAGAGTTTCAGTTTCTCTATATTCCCACCAACACTTGGCGTCAGTGGCCTTTATAATTTCAGTCATGCCTGTGGCTATGTTGCAGTAGCTCACTGTGGTTTTACATTTGCACTTTCCTGATGACTAAGTGATATTGTGTGTCTTTTCATGTGTATATTGACAAGTCATACATCTTCTTTTGTGAATTACCTGTTCAAATATTTCCCCCATTTTTTTGGTGAATTGTCTTTATTTTAAAATTTTTTCACTCCTTACATATCCTATATACAAGCCATTCATTCTCTCTCTCTCTCTCTCTCTCTCTCTCTCTATATATATATATATATATATATATATATATATATATAATAAATCTTCTATTCTTTGACTTGTATTTTTCAGTTTATTAATTCCCATTTAAAAAGCAGAATTTTTTAGTTCTGATAAAATTCATCATTTTGTTTTCAGTTTTAATTTTTTTTTGTATCTTGTGTAGGGAATTTTAACTGATTCTAAAGAAGGCAAATGTTGCAGATTTGGATTTAATGTTTAAGTTTAAGACACATCTTGAGTTATATTTGTGTGTGGTGTGGGCTAAGTGTTAGACTTTTTTTGTTTTTGTTTTCTGTACTTGGGTATCCTATTGTACCAAGCCATTTATTGAAAAGACTGCATTTTACTCATTGAATTAGTATGGCACACTTCTAAAAAAATCAATTGACCATAAATGTGTGTATATATGGGGGAAAAGCACTTATTTCTGGAATCTCGATTTTGTTGCATCAATTAAATTCTATTCCTAAGTCAGTACCACGTTGTCTTGATTCCTGTGGCTTTATATTAAGTCTCTAAATCTATTAGTATGTCCTCCAACTTTGTGCTTTAAAAAACTTTTAGCAATTCTAAGTACTTCCATTTCCATATAAACTTTGGAACTATCTTATCAAATTTTATAAAAAGGATAGCTGAATTTGGATTGGAATTGTAATGAATCTATACATCAATTTAAGTGCAAATGACATCTTAATGATATTCAGTCTCTTAATCCATGATCCAGTATTCTTTGATTTCTCTCAGAAGTTAGACAGTTTTAAGTGTTCAAGAAGTGCATATATTTTGAAAAATTTATCACTGAGAATTTTATATTTGTTGACATTATTCTGTCATATTTTTAAAAATTTTCAATTTCCATTTTTTTTGTTACTAGCAAAAGATATCAGTTGATTTTGCATATCGATCTTGTATCCTGCAAGATAACACATTCAGTTATTAATTCTAGTAGCTTTTTTTGTAGACATTAGGATTTATGTATAATCTTTTCATCTTCCTTTACAATCTGTATATTTTTTTCTTACATTTTATTGCATTGGCTATAACTACCCTGCTATGCCACCAGGCCAGAACAATGTTAAATATAATAGGTAAGAGTGAATATGCTTACTTTGTTTCTAATTTTAAGGAAAGGCATTTAGATTTTTACCATTTATGTAAAAGTTAGCTGTGGGTTCTTCATAAATGTGCTTTATCAGATTGAGGAAGTTCTCTTTTAATCTTAGTGTAATGAGAGGTTTTATCATAAATAAATATTAATTTTGTCAAATGCTTTATCTACATCTATTGAGATACAGTTTTTCTCCTTTATTCTGTTTATGTGTTGAATCACAATCTCAATGATAGATTTTCAAATATTAGACATGTTGGATTCCTGGAATAAATCTCTTATTTTTAATTTGATCGATTTGATTTGCTAAAATTTAGTTAATAGTTTTGATGTTTTTGTACATGTGGGCTAGTAGTCCACAGGTTTTCTTTTGTAATATCTTTGGCTGATTCCAACATCATGGAATTTGTTGTAAAGTCCCCATACTTTTTATCACTTCTGACTTAGTTTATTGTCATTAATAAATTTTTCTCAGGGTTTATGGTTCACAATTTACTTATCTGGGCCATGTATTTAATTTTGGATTAAATGGTGGATATTTAGACTTTCATGTTGTTGAATTGTTATGCTGTATTTTGTTTTCTTTATAAAACATTGTCAGGCTTTGCTCTGGAAGCCTGTTAAATATTGTGTGGATTAGCTTAATTCTTGCAAGGCTACTTTTAAACTGTGTTAGGGCTTACCTAGAGATGTTTTTAGGAGTATTTTAGAACAACTACTAAAATATGACTATTCCCAGGACATTAAGAAAGGTGATCAGTGAGGATTTTTGAATACGGTTGACCAGACCTTGAATGTTTCTCTAGTCCATATAAGACCTAGAAATTTTTGGCGTACAATTATTTAGTTGCCCTTTCCCAGTTGCTCCTTTCTTGATCTCATGGAGTTTTACCCTAAGTGTGTTCACACCTTCCTATACCATTATTATCAGATACACAATCACCTTTATAGATTTTTCTTTGAGTTCTTTCTCTCTGTAGCCCTCTCCTCCCTGGTTCCATTCTCCACAAATTCAGCCACTTTTGTCTCCTGGTTCCAATTGCTGTCATCTCAACTTAAAAAGACTCTCAGATTCTAATTAGGGATCTTCTGCTGTACAGTCAGTCTGGAATTTGTCAGGGCATTCATAGCACTCATTTGTTTTGTTTCTCTTTGCTCATGAATCTTAGTTCAGCTCTTCTTCTTGTCTACTGTGTGAAATAGCTGTTCATTTTTCAAACTGTGCAGTGAAGTAGGCCTTATCCCCATTTTTAATTATGCCCTGGAGCATAATGCTTTCATCCCTTTTTATAGATAAGCAAACTGAGGCTTAAATAGACTAAGCTGTATACTGATGGAGAACAGGAATTTGAGCATACATTGGAATTCAAATTTTTCCTATTTACTAGTTGAACAACGTTGGGCAAATTACTTAACTGGCTGCTTTCATTTTCATATCTTTACAAGGGAGATGTTTTAGATGCTGCTACTCATATATAAGGAATAGTTTCTTACTCTTTTGTTAACTGAGATGGTGACTGTGAAGTTTTCTGCACAGTTCCTGGCACATAGTGAATGTTGGATTGGGTATTAACTAACTAATTATATTGCTCATGATCACTTTGCTAGAATTTTTTTAAAAGGAAAATATGATTTTAAATAGTCATATCTTTCTACTTATTTTTAAATGTCAGAATTCTTGGTCAGACTTGAAAACACTTAAACAGTTCTTGGAGGCTTTAAAATTATTCTTGGTGACCTTGATTTTGGTACAATCTCTGACTTCGAATTCAGGAATGTAATATTGATGGCAAGATTAATGTTTTCCCTTATTTATCAAAAGTTTTTTTCTTTAAAAAGTATTTAGAAAAGAAAACAAGTATATTCAAGCCAAAAAGACAAATTCTCTGGAAATAGGGGCAGGGTATACTCAATTAGTGAAACATGAAAAGTCCTGTGTGTGTGGAGAAATTTTAAAGAAAAGATCGAGGGAGAATCCATCACAAATTCTCCATTAAGAAGACACATTATAGGTTTAATTAATCATAATGATGGATATCTTTAACATTAGGCAATAATTGACAGTTTCATAGTAGTGAGAATATAGTCACTCAAAATACAACTTTTAAAGGTCATATTCTGTTTTCTTTTCAGAATCTCATAAAATCTTGAATCACCACAAGTAGAACTCAACAGAGCATAATCACGCAAAAAATCAGGCAGGTTCATCACTGAAGGTTTGAGTATGTCCTCAGTTGACACTCATAAATTTAAATATGGCAGATAGACAAGAAATAACACAGATTTGTCAACCATATGTAATAGAATAGTTCAGCTCAGCAAGGGGAATTCAATTCTCTCCCTGCTGGCTGAGCCTGTATGTGTCAGCCAACAATATCCACTTAGTCTCAGGTGACAACAGTGCCAGTTAGTTAGCTTTGGTTCATGTTTTGACTATTGATAGACTTAAATTATATTCATATTGTCATGCAGGACAAACACATAGAAAGTCTTGCCTTTGATTTAAATACAGGCACTTCTTTGTTGCAATGATGTTTGAACTGTATATCAGAATAACATGCTTATAATAAGCCAGGTATAAAAAGTAGATTATCTAAATCAGATAATTAAAAACCATCTGATTAATGATCATTTTGGCTTGAAAACAAATTATCCTATCTCAACAGAAATTTAAGTTAGTTTACAAAAATACAGATCTTACTTTTGAGATTGACATAAAATGTCATGGACATTTCTGTAAACATTTCAATCCTCCTTTGACCTTTTTGAAAGATATAATTCTGTAGTTGTTAGATTAATGCATATTCTTTGTGTGCACTTCTTTTACTGAATAAATGTTATTCTTTTCCGACCATTAACATTTTTCGCTCTTCCTGATTCTTGTAAACTCTTTTCTAACAATGCTCATGAAATGTAGAGAAAATGGTTTTTCTAGTATCCAAAATAACATATTACTTGTAATGTAAATTGCCTAAGAGTTCATTTCTTGGCAATATGCTGTATGGTAACATGGCTTTTGCTGAAGAGCTCAGTAAATCATCTAGGGGTGCTGCGACTTTCTTTCTTTCTTTTTTTTTTTTTTCCTTTTTCTTTTCTTTGATTTATTTTATTTTATTTTTGATATTGAGTCTTGCTCTGTCACCCAGGCTGGAGTGCAATGGTGCCATCTCAGCCCACTGCAACTTCTACTTCCTGGGTTCAAGCAGTTCACGTTCCTCAGGCTCCTGAGTAGCTGGGACTACAGGCGTGCGCCACCACACCAGGTTAATTTTTGTATTTTTGATAGAGATGGGGTTTCAACATGTTGGCCACACTGGTCTCAAACTTAGATTTTTTTTTTTTTTCTGAAAACAAATGCTCTCTGATTGGCATGCTCCAGTCACTGGATCACCACTTAAAGACTTCTAGGTTAGAATTAAACATGGGCACAACAGCTCAAAGTGAGAACATACATAGTGAAGATCCCTGCCTTTTTCTTTCCTCTCTTCCTTTTTTTTTTTCCTACTTCCTATCCATCTCAAAGAGACATCAGTCAGAAATATAGATATGCTTATGCTTGCTTGGTGTCCTTGGTTATAAATAGTCCAAACATCAAGAAGCTAAAATCGAGATGATTATATAACTCCTAAAGATGAAGTTGTGAAGTACATTACACAAAACAAGTTTTAAAAAGCTATTTTAAATACAAGATTCTATCTCTGCCAAACTGCCCTCAGATCACTACGATAATTTAGCATCAAAATCAGCTTAGATAATCATAGGTTAAAGAGCTGCCACTAGCAGCTCATCAGTTCCAAAGCTTTCCAAAAAATCTCAACCACCTTGACACTTTGATCTCATGTGTCAAAAAGTGGTCATGTTTGATCTGTTAGCCTTTAACAGAAGAATTTGCTCCTGATGGAGTGGCAGCAATAATCATATGGTATTTTTAGAGAAGTGATACACTGAAAAATAATATCATAATTATGTATTTATAAAGTGTTGGTTTTCTACAAACTGGAGGTTTAGCAATGATTGCTGGAACAAATAATTACATTTCTAAAAGAAATAAAAAATGCATGGAGATAATATCCATCAAATGAGTTAATGAAAAATCATGATCTTATTATCTTAATGAATGCAGTATAGTGTTATAAATGCCTTTACACTTACATCTTCATCACATAGTATGAATGACAAATGGAAAGACCAAAGAATTGGGAAATCACTGTCCCCCTAACAGACTCTGATATGTGAATTCTATGTCCGTTTCTCATTTATTACAGATGCATTTCATTAGTGAGTTCATATATTCTAACAATCCATCCAAAAGTATTCATAATTACAGGAAGACAATACCACTGCCATTTTCACAGTCATGTTGTGGTATTTTTAGTGTGTTGAGTACAGTAATTATTTATTAAAATAACAAAAACAGGAATAAAATACTTATATGTACAAAATAGCATGGTATGATTTCTACCTAATATTTAATAATACACATGCAAATTTTCCCTGCATTAACATAGTGGTAAACAATAAATACAAACAGTAGTTAATATAAGAAAACCAAGAAAAGTCTTCATGGATAAAAATTCTTGGCCCTGAAAACTTTAATCTTCAAGGAAAGGCATGCCTCTCAGTGAGCCTGCCTCCTGAGCTGTCAATTCACTGCTCACAAATTACCCTCCTAAAATTCCTTGTCCTAGGAATGCTCCTATAAATGGAATAATGTAATTTTTAAATGTCAGAGGACAGGAAAGACCCAGGGCTCCTTTGGATTCCATCAAATTATTGCAAGTGAGCTGGACATCACTTCACTGGGATAGACAACTGGTACAGGCCAGCAGCAGGTAGGGAAGCTGAGATTGATTCTGCAGGACTTTCTCCTTTTTCACCCTTGGAGCATAGAAGCTGAAGATTAAGCCTGTGAGTAATAAACACAACAACAAAGTTTAACTTCCAAGAAAAGGAAGAAGAAATAGAGATGCTGGGGGAGTCCATCTCTTAGTAAGAAATGGTTGTCACTAGCTCAATTTTTTCCACTTAGTAGAATCACTTGACTGTCTCTCAAGCACTTCAAACTTGACACACCTGAAAAGAAAAGCACCGTTTTCTTTCCCATACCTATTGCCCTCCCTCCATAATCTCAATCTTTGCTATTTCCTCCATGATGCATTCTGGCACCCAGGCTGGAAATGTGGATATTGTCTATAGTTTTATTCTTCCTCATTCCCCATTGGGCACATCTAGTTAATCACCACATCGTGAAATGTTTACCCTCCAGACATTTTTCTCTATTCTATTTGCCTCTTCATCTTCCTCCCTACTGCAGCTCCCTAGCTCAAGCTTTGTCTTTTTCCAGGGGAATACTGCAATAGCCTATGACTCCTCTGCTTCTGGCCTTGCTCTTCTTGAATGAGTCTTCCACATTAAACACACACTGGTGTATATCAAGCACAAATCTCACATTTATCTTCTAATTAAAGTCTTTAACTTTACCCCATCACTAATGGGATACAGTTCAAGATCTGTTGCTTGGGTTGACAATGTGAGTAATTAAGAAATTTATGGGCAACTTTCAAGCTTGGCTGCTGTCTACTCATCAGGGTGAAGAATGAATAGGCAATTTGCCACTTCTTCCCAGGAAGGATAGCCAGGCCTTTGGTTTAGTATATTACAGTTTTCTTTGCAGTGTAGAAACAACTTTGTGTTGGTCTAAAAAAGAGCAAGAGATGGAGACTTCCATGTCCTAAGTAGGAAAAGGGCTGTAGCCCAACCTGGAAAAGATTAGATGGTGTTGTGTTGCTGAGAGCAGTGCTGGTAGTTTGCTAGAGTCTGGGGAGAGCATGATATGGTGTGTGTGGTAAGGTGTGGGGAGTGGTACTAGTGGCGGAGACCTGTAACCAATTCTTTTCTGGTTTGGTTGGTGAAGGCAAGTCCTTTGATAGGGATGACCGAACTGTTGCTTTACATGAGGGAAAGTTGGACATTGGCTGCTGCGGCCTGGGGTAGTAACCACAATTATCCATGTCAAGTCTTAGGATATGGAAAGGATTGCAGAAGAGGATATCCATGACTTCCTCCCAGAGCATTTGTGATTGATAGGTGGTCGAGCACATGCCAGAGCATGGTGTAGCATAAGTACCATGATTAGAAGGATGATTGCAGACAAGGTATTTCCCTCAATTATTGACCTAGTTTTCTAGGCATACTTTATAACCAAGGTCAAGCGAGGAGTTCTCAAGTGATGAATGACTTCTTTATTAAATTTTTTTTCTTTTTTCTTAACTTTTATTTTAGTTTCGGGGGGTATATGCAGAGGTTTGCTAGATAGGCAAACTGCATGTCACAGGATTTGTTGTACAGGTTATTTTGTTACCCATGTAATAAGCATAGTACCTGAGAGTTAGTTTTTTGATCCTCGCCCTCCTCCCATCCTCTAACCTCAAGAAGGCCCCAGTGTCTGTTGTTCCCTTCTTTGTGGATAAGGGACTTTTTGATATCATTAGTGAATGAAGAAAGTTAGTTCTTCTTTCCAGCCTTGTGAAGTCCTTCATGGTTTATGCTGGGAAACAAGGCTTCCTTATGATCTAGTACTCTCTGCTACTTGAGCCTTGTTTCCCAGCCAGGCTGCTATTGAATTAGATTCTCTAGGCCGGCGCTTCTCAAGCTATCTACAGTGAAGGACAATGTTGGTTTCTAACAACATTTAATCAGCAATAAACAGACATTTAAAAAATATGATAATATAGATTGAATGTTACAGCAGTAACAGATTACTATAACAATTTTTAAAGTTTTATCATTTCTTTCATATACTATGCAGTGTCACGATTCTTTTCTTCTTTGTACATGCTATTCCCTGTGCCTGGAAAATCTTTCCTCTCTTCACCTAGGCCACTTTTTTTTTTTCTCCTTCTGTAAGTCTCAGCTCAAATACCATCTCTAAGAAATTTGTCACTAAACTTCACGGTATTATGTCTGTCTTTACATACCATTATGTTGTTTATCATCTTATACTAAAATTATTTTTTATGTGTTTTTATTTCCACTTCTATAAGCTCCTTGAGAACTGCAACCATGACGAGCTCTCTTTATACATGAACTAGTACGTGACAAGGAATAAGGTCTCAGTCACTTTTTGTTCAACTCAGTCCTACTCCTCCATAGATGAGTTTCAAGTGAAGTCAAGAGTTTGTAGCATAGTTCAACTGGTAAACAACTGAATTTGTGCTAATAGGATAATGATCATGATTGATATTGTTTTGATTATTTTCTCAAAGATCAGCAACGTAAATAACCAACTGTAATTTCATCAGCATGCACTTCATGTTGACAGTCTTTCTCAAAAAATAAATCTTACTTCATTAGTGATTTCTTTACGTCTAGTCCAGTATCAGTCTTTGCTTTTTTTCACATTATAGTCCTTCTAAAATTGGTATGTTGGCTTCAATAATAATGATATAGGACTGAATAGTCACTGAATCTCTCACAACCTAAAATGTAATATATTTTTGATTTTTATAATGAACAAATAACTATTTTATAGTAATAGTTCATAAGTTCATAATAGGTTTCTTCAACACTACTGACAACAATTTATAAACAAAGAATCAGAATGGCCATAAGAGAAAAGATCATTTTTTGTTGATTTTATAGATGTGGAACCCCGTGCAGAGCATTATTAAGAAATTCATTCAGGGTTACAGAGTACAATCATAATATATAGTTGGCCTTCTGTCCCTGTGGGTTCTATGTCCACAAATTCAACCAATTGTGAATTAAAAATATTCAAAACCAGTAAAAATTAACAATACATTTTAAAAAATACAAATAAAAACATAGTATAACAACTAGTTCTATAGTGTTTACATTGTATTAGGTATTACAAGTAATCTAGAGATGATTTAAAGTGCTACATGAGAGAATTTGTGCAGGTTATATGCAAATACTGTACAATTTTATTTATATCAGGGACTTGAGCAACCATAGATTTTGGTATCTCCAGGGCTTTTAAATCAATCATCCTCCTCCATGGATACAGAAAGACAACTGTAAATCTCCTTTTTTAATGATGTTTTCCTTTTAGCTTGTGCTATTTCATTTCAAAATGAAAGAAAAATAATCGGTAAACATGTTAAGCTCTTCTGGAAGTTCACAAAGATACTCTTAGATTATCAGGGTACATTTAGAAAGTTAACAGAAATATCAGGGAATTGCACATCGGAGAAAAACAGAAATGGCTACCAATCACCATTGCTGAGTGTCTGTGGGAACAAATTGTCATAAAAGCTACAGGACTTTCTAACACTATAATTCTTCACTTGTCTGAAACTCCCTCCACTCTTCAGCCTTCCAAGGTGTTTTGGAACAGAAAGAAGATGAGACCTACTGGTGAAGGAGCAAGCAGGTAGCAGCAGATTCCTCTTTGACAGTGGCACAGAGCTGGTCACAGAACAGTTAAATGGCTGTCTGTTCAATTCTAAAATTCTTTTTTTTCCCATTTAATTTTACATCTTAGACATGTTTTCATGTTATTAAAAATTATTTGGAGAATTATTTGTACTCATAATGTCACTGGGCAGAGTATAATTTATTTTATAATTTCCATATCATTAAACATTTAAGCTGTTTCTACATGTTTGCTGCCACTCTTGTATATGATTTCATGCTCCCACGGGGTAAAGCTTTGCAGAAGGCAAGGTTCATAGCTCATAAATGTTTTACAATTCCTGTCCACCCTGCTGAATCACATTAAACATAATGCTGTGGAGGAAATTGATGATCAATGCATGAAGCAATAAGCATTAAATATATCTAGAATCTTGTTTTGAGATGGAAATTTTTAACGTAAGTGATTATTTCTGTATTACTGTTTGCTATTGCATCAGGGTTCAAGACTTTTTAACTTCATTCCCTAAATCTTCTAGGTTTGATGAATTCATTTCTATTTATTCTGAATCTCCAAGTTGATATCTAATTTCCAGTTGACAACCTAGACAGTAGTTACTCATTGGTTATTAAATTCAAAGTATGGTGATGGAAATATGTTAAAGAAAAAAGGGAGACAGACAATAGAATTGAAAGATGTCAAACTTGTTTCTTCCCATTACTTTCTGATCTTTACTCTTTAGAACATTGTTATATAATTCCAAAATTACAAAGAGGAGCAACAAAATTTATTTAGCTCTTCAAATCAAAAGCCTTGAAATCTGAGGCTAGGAATATTTTTTAAAGTACAAAAATGGAAAGGAATGGGAGTTGAATAAAAGTTACTTTTATTGAGTGGTTTGAAGGTCGACACTGTTTCTTGCCTTCTATACACCTTTTCTTTCTTTTTTTTCCAACTGCAGACTTGCTTTCTCCAAGTTGGACAATTAGTTACTAATATTTGAGCATTTTGGTCATTTAGAAAACAACCCTTTACTAGCCACTGGGTTGCAAAGCAACCATAGCGGATATGGAAGGAAGCTTTTTATGTATTGGCTAGGGCTAGACAATGCATCTCACCCTCAGCTTCCCAAACTTTGCATCTGAAAGTGTCCATTGCATAGAATCGGCAAACTTCCAGATTCCAATTTATTTTCTTTCAACGTTTTTAATTTCAAGGGGGTACTTCTGCAGATTGGTTACATGGGTAATTACATGTCATAGTGGTTTGACGTACAGACAATTCTGTCACCCAAGTAATTAGCATAACACCTAATTGGTAGTTTTTCAATACCCACTCTCATCCCACCCTCCCCCTTCAAGTAGGCCCTGGTGTCTACTGTTCCCTTCTTTGTGCCTGTGTGCATTCAGTGCTTGACATTCACTTATAAATGAGAAGATGTAGTATTTGGTTTTCTGTTCTTCAGTTACTTCACTTAGAATAGCGGACTCCAGGTTCATCCATATTGTTGCAAAGGAAATAATCTGGCTCTCTTATATGGCTGCATAGTATTCCATGGTGTATGTGTATCACATGGTTGATGGGCATCTAAGTTCATTCCACATCTTTCTTATTGTGAATAGTGCTGTGATGAACATACATGTGCGTGTGATTTTATAGTATAGCAATTTGTATGCCTTTGGCCTATATCTAGTAATGTGACTGCTGGATTGAATGGTAGTTCTACTTTAAGTTCTTTGAGAAATCTCCAGACTGCTTCCATAGTGATTGAATTAATTTGCATTTCCACCAGCAGTGTATGAGCATTCCCTTTTCTCTATAACCTGGCCAGCATCTGTGACTTCTCGACATTTTACTGATTGAATTCTGACTGATATGTGAGGGCAGCTCACTGTGGTTTTGATTTGCATTTCCCAAATGATTAGTGATATTGGGCATTTTTGCATATGCTTGTTGGCCCTGTGTATGTTTTCTTTTGAGAAGTGTGTGTTCATGTCCTTTGTCCATTTTTTAATGGGATTGTTTGGTTTTTGCTCACTGATTTGTTTAAGTTCCTTGTAGATTCTGGGTATTATACCTTTGTCAGATGCATAGTTTGTGAATATTTTCTCCAATTCTGTAAGTCATCTGTTTATCCTTACTCTGTTGACAGGGGAAGGCAGTCTTGCCTCTTTTCCATAGGGCACTGCAGCATGCTGGAGGTGCACAAACTCCAGGATTCCTAATCCATACCTAATTGTTAGCTAGAGCGGGATAAAATTCTGATACTGACACATGTTTGAATGGCACTCCTCTGTCTCTGTCTTCTGCTACTGGCCAGACAAGCACAGCAGGTACCATTTATTCAGCAAGAAATTGCTAAGTGTCTGTAATAGCACAATGTTAGCAGTTAGACAGTAGACACAAGCCTTGAATACAACAAGATTTCTCACCATAGACACTTTACCGAGAATGACTACCAATGTGGGCCTGCCAATTCTGCGCATGTATTTATTTATTTTATTTTATTTTTTAGTGTTACCTACCAAAGGGTAGATTCTTCTGCATGTTCTATAAAACATCAAAAATTTATTGTGAAAACATTTAACCTATACTTCTTGTAACAATTAAATGAAAATCAGAGGAGCATTTCCTTACTCACTAGTAGGAAAGTAGAAGGCAATTCCATACCAACTGGGACAGTTAATTCCAAAGCACGTTTAACATTGGCCTGAGCTGTTTTACTTAAATAAGAAATGTACGTGCCTTGAGCTGACTCTTGGTCATGACATGGAATATACTTTTGAAAATTTCCATTGTTATTGATTCACAATTATTGTAGTAAGATTAATCATTTGTATTAATCATTTTGTCAAGATATCTGGAAGGCTCTGTCACTTGGCTGGTTACACAGCAGGAATATGTCTGCACGACCAGCTGAGTTAAAGGTAAACTGGCTGAGACTGAATTCTAGGTCATCTTGTTGGAGGTGTTTTTTCCACACATCCATGGTTTCTGGACCCAGAGAGAAAATGAATTCTGGTAAGGTCCTTATAGAGAGAGGGCAATTGGACCCTTCACCTGGCATCTCTGAACCCATTTCCCTGAGCCAGCCTATGGCCCTGATACACATCTTTACTTTAATGAAGTTTCTAGATTTTATCATTTTCCTGCAATAAACTGCAAATTTGCAAGCATTGTCACTTGGAACCTGCGAGTCTTTGTTAGCAACAAAAGCCTGTCTGATTTCCACAGTTAGTGTGCACTTATTGACCTAGGTAGGCTGACTGAGTTTACAAGGAAACAGTATCAACAGGCAGAGCAAAGTGTATCATTCCTTCAATAGACAAGACAATTGGACAAATTGGCTACAAGTACCAAGTCATTCATTTTTTGGCAATTTTTTTTTTTTAGAGTTTGTTTTTAGACAAATAGGCAATGATGTTTGCACTGACACAAACCATTAACTTTTCAGCTTTTGAAATTCTTTAAAAACAATCTAAGCTGCTGCAGGGTAATAAAACAGATATTAATGAATGTCTCTGTAAATGAAACTGGGAAACTTACGTAATTATTGCCTAGGTGTGGGAAGGTTTCCTCAAGCTGTCAGTTCTTGGTTTTTCCTTGTGCAGAGTGCTCACCTGAGAACAGGAGATATGTTTTGATCTATAAGCTCAGAGACCGAGTAAGGATGAAAATAAAGTATCCTAGCTTGTTTTCTGTTTTTCAAGGAAAGTTTAATTCTTCTGCAAGAATATCATTAGAGCCACAGTTTGCCTCTTGTATTGTCTGGAAATCAGTCACCAAAATATAAGAGATCTTCCCAGCCATCATCTGTTTTCACTCCAAAGTAGCAATATGAAGTCCTGGGTGGGGCAGGTCAGAGGGGAGTGGGGCCAGGGATGTAAGCTGGGAGGTAACATCAGAGAAACCCTGGGGAATAAGTATTGATTTTTGCTTGTTACATGAGCTGGCTCTGCCTAAGCAAGTCCATATCATACGTTTAAAGTGCCGTTTTATCAGGAAGACATTCTAGCATCCTTCTGTTTAAATAATTCAGTGAGGGTTTTGTGAAAATGAATTTATAGGCCAATATCAACACGTGGGTGAGGTACAGAGCAGCACGGGTGCCATTACTCAAAATCCAAGTGCTATTCCACCATCCAATATACAGAGAAATGTTAATCTAAAAATATGGCAAGCTGAGAGGCCCCAAGTATTTTTTTGCATGCCACTGGATTCGTGGCCAATGTATTTTGCATTCTTTGTGTCCTTTAGGTAGAATCGAGTATCAACATCAGTCTCACAATATAAAAGAAATATAAATTAAAATCTCCAGCTTTTAGAATAAATCTCCTTATTTTGCTCCAGCTTTTATCTGCCAGTTGTTAGGAAATCTGTCCTCTGGGGACTCTGAGAATGTCACCTGTTACTTGTACCATCATGGCAATAATAAATAGTGCCACAGACCCCTGAGAACCAATTCGGGACTCCTCTTCAAGAGCTCCTTCGGTTCTATGCTCTGAGAAATGTCGGGTGTAGTGCTGCAGTACCCTCAGCCCCTGTTCCAAGGTAATCTTTTGCTAACTATTGTTCATTTTGCAAAAGACACAGCACCTGCTTGGAACTTATGGCTATGAAGTATCAGAATGAGAATTAAATCAAATAAATATTGATTCTCCCCCTAGAATCTGCCAGAAGTCATGTAAAGCAAGTCACTGAAAATCTTTACAATTCCTACTATTCCTCCTCAAGGTCCATCTAATTGACAGACTAGAAATTTTCAGAAAGATTTAATAACGAAATGATATCAGTAACAAGAATAATGATATTTAGAGTAAAGGCAAACCAAACACACACATATCCAGTGGAAAAAAAAATCCAGAAAGAAATATATCAAATGCCAATAGTGGTTGTATGAAGGTTGCTTCATGGGTAGTTTTAAATTCCTTTTTATTCTCTTTTTTTTCTATTTTTCATTATGCATAATGTGGTCAAATATTAAAATGGTAGTTTCAACCATGAAGAATATTAGAAGGCAGTAATATCTGTTAATTTGCCAAATTATCAACATGTTAAGCTGAGGGAAAGATCGCTTACAGTTCAAACAGTCAAGGAAACTTTGGTAGAAATGCAGAGAATGAGACAAATATTGAAGGGCTGAGGACAGAAGATGATTCTATATATGGCTTTATAAATCTGTGAATGTTTTGTTCATTTTTACACTTTCATTCTTTTTTTGTTGTTAATGAACTTTTATTTGTAAAAATAAATAAGCAAAATAGATGACTATGCACTTAATGAGTAATTGACATTAGCATACTAATTAGTGTGCTAATGACATATTAATATGTAATTACCATAAGAATGGGCAGGATACATGACAAAGTACAGCAAGAGACTGTGTCTTCCTTTGAGAATGCTGGGTTCAGAGAGAGAGAGTCAGGAGACAGGGAAGGGAATGAACGAAATCTGGGAAATATGCATTATTACTGCATATTAAGTGCTTTCAAAACTGAGCTAGAGAAAGCTAGCACATGATGGAAGGTGTTGCAGACATGCTAAGGTGTTTGAACTTAATCTTAGGTTATTACTTATCAGCGTCTTCTAAGCAGAGGAATATTCTAATGAATTCAGATCTGATTTTTCCTACTCTAAATGATTCAAAATCAACTGATGCTTTGCAGCTAAGTTTAGTGATTCAATTTTTTCTTCTTCCATAGAGTAATATATTTCTAATTTCAAAATTTATATAACCTGACATATTAAAAGTGAAATGATATATATTAACTTTCAGAGATGATATAAATAAGAATCACGTTTAAAATGCATGCCACACATATATTTTTTAGTCAATCATGTTGAAGTTTAACGTGACAAGATCACTTACTAAAGCCTAGGAGGAGCTTGTATATTCTTCTAAAGGACTCCTTGATCTGCCACATTTGATGCTCATTTTTTTTTTCCTGAAAGCATCTTCTTGTTATACCCTAGTGAGCTTTCTTTTACATTTAAGAGAGTTCCAAATTTAAACATGTATGAGTTACAGTTTCAGCAGAAGACCTTGTTCAATGAAGCACATATTTAAAGGAAGCAGGGAATGTTCATGGATGAACATCAACGCATTATGTATTCCATGACCTAATTGGCAAAAAGGAATTTGGGGTCAAAGAACTCTCTTCCCAGGAGAAAATGACCAGACTTTTAACTGTGGCTCATTGAGGCTTCTAGAAACCCAGATGCTTTAGTATCCACTGGCATTTTCCCTGAAGGTGGGTTGCTGCAGATGGCTGTTTCCTTGGAAACACTGTTTATTGGTCTCTACCATGGTAAAACATCCAGGGGTTCTATACTGAAGTAATGATTCAAAGATTTTTTTGTGACCACTGAAGCTCAAATTTCATTGTGTTACCTATCTATGTTCATAATGAACACTGTATTTCTTAGGTCTTGAAACAAATAAAGTAAATTATAACACTCATCGATTCTGAGTGGTCAGTGGTCAGATATTTGTTCTATCAATATTTTTTATATTTTAAAATTTCTATATATTATTATATTGGCAACAGTAGAAAAACTGAGCTAAGCTCAACAGTAGAAAAATTGAGCTAAGCTTGTGAACTTATATCAAACCTAATCATTTAAGTTTTTATTTCTACTTATTTCTTTAGGAAAGATGTCAGTATTTGGCAAGAGAAGTTACTCACATAAAAATAATGTTAGCAACGTAACTTCTCTTGAGTATAATGAGCATGTTATTATAAAAACAGATATTTGAATAAATCTTGAATGGCAGTGGGAAGAGATTTGTTTGCTAATGTTTGGGGAGCCACGAAGTTCTGTTAATGATAGACTTTAATAAAAACTGTGGTAGTACAAGGAGCATTTGGATGACATTGTATTTTAGGTGATACATTCTGGACTACTGAAGTCTACTCTGAATCATCAATTTCAGTGTTGCCCTATCACCAAATATTTTTCATGGTAATCATCTGGGTTGAACTTTGAGAGGTTATTTTGCTAAAAGTAATATAATTTCTAAATCAGAGTGGGCAGAAATAAAAGTACCCAAGATTATATCTTATTATTTTCATGAGAATATCTCCCCCTTAGACCTGTGACCTGACAAGTTATTTTTGAAGAAAAGGAAGCCAGATGGACTAAGGGTCTATTTAGCAAGCCTGCTATGATCTATTGCACTTACTCCTATGGTCACTACAACAGTGGGAGACAGCCTACATGGAATTTTTCCCTAGGCTCTAAAGAAGGATTGTTATTAAGTTTGCAGCCAAGAAACATGAGGTTCTCTGGGGTTTTCCCCCTGCTGGAAGTCTTGATTCTAGGGTTGGTTTTCCTGTTTCTTGGGCAGAAATGGGTGGTAGAAAACTACAGGTGGTTCTGATCCCAGTGCCCTCCTCATAAGGAGAACCAGGAGCTTCTACACAGAGCACTTCCAGATGTGTTTAGCACCCTGATTCACCAATTGGAGTGCCAAGGAGACTGTAGAGTGTTTGGAGTGTGTGTGATGCCTGCTTTGCAAGCCATAGGCAGGTTCTGAGGATTTTTCTTAATAAATGGTATAGTCATGCTTAGGGTCTGTCATGTGCTTACTCAGGACTGGTTCACATTTAGCCTACTTGACCAATTTTTTTGCCCTTTTCCCTGACCTGGTAGAATAGGCCTGGCTACTTATTTAGGACTGTTTTCTCACAGGAGAAAATTGTGTGTATCTTCTAACTACTCTATAGGTAAATTTTACTCCTTGGCTCCTTTGAGATGGTTCCTCCTGAGAGAAAGGATAGTATGAAAATAAAGAAAATGTTTGTATTAAAGAGTGGAAGAGATACAAGAGCAAAGGAGATCTCTCATAAAAGAAGATAGCTCATGTGAAGGGTTTCAGCATTCTTGTGCAGACTTCAGATATTCTTGCTCTTCAACTCTCCTGTCTGCCTGTTGTCATTTGTTCTAGTTTAAATTTCTACATGAAATTGAGATCACATTTAACTTGTGACAGTGTGCTCTTGATTTGAGACAGTATTTATAGCTTTCTGTTTTACAAAATTATTTTAAGCCACCAGAAATTTTATAATATAGCTTATCCCTAATATTCAATTGAGGAATTGGATATTGTAAATGTATTAATCTAACATGATATTTAAATTAGAGCCACATCTTTTTTTTTTTTTGGTTGAGTCTTGCTCTGTCACCCAGGCTGGAGTGCAGTGGAGTGATCTCAGCTCATTGCAGCCTCCGCCTCCCAGGTTCCAAAGTTTCTCCAGCCTCAGCTTCCTGGGTAGCTGAGATTACAGGTACATGCCACCATGCCTAGCTAATTTTTTGTATTTTTAAGTAGAGACAGGGTTTCAACATGTTGGCCAGGCTGGTCTCAAACTCCTGACCTCAGGCAATTGGCCACCTTGGCCTCCCAAAGTGCTGGGATTATAGGTATGAGCCACTGTGCCCAGCCAGATTATTTTATAAAATTAATAATTGCTTTTGATTGATTTGTTTTTTGATATAAGTGGTTTGTCTAACCTACTCAAAACAAAGAAAAATCTGTGCTTTTTTTAATTTTGAAAAGCTATCTAGCATCACATTTTTTATTGTTCTTGACCCAAATCCTATTTATATTTTGAGAGACTTTAATTCTAATCAAATGAATATACCTAAGAAAATAGGAAAAAAAATCACATTACATCAAAAGAATATTATATTTTACCTTTATGGAGAAGCTCAATTATATTTATATAAATGATATAAAACATGATTTACATTTTAACTGATGACCAAATTTTTTGCCTTTTTGTCCATATGTGACTACACAGCGATTACCAAAAAAGAAACAAAACAACAGCAGTAACTTAAAAGCTTTTTAACAAATTTTGTGTTCTTTCTGCTACTCCTGCAGAATAGGAAATGCCTCTAGCCCTCTATACATCCACACATCTATGGAAAGCAACCTCTAAAGGGCACATAGTCCAATAACCTTATCAAAATGGTAAGACTTTTCTTTCCTTCATGGGAGAATTTTACATTTATTGACAGTCATTGACTATTTCTAAAGAAGTTAGGCTTTTTGGTTATGTTTCACATGAACAAAATCCAAGGTTATAGTTAGATTCTAAAATAACAAATTTTCATATAATCAACTGCCTGGAAACTTACCAGATTCATGAGAAATAGTCTTAACAGTGAGAAGCTTCACACTCTCTTTATCGGACTGAGGTCTATTTGAAACAGAAAATGTTAAATTAGCACCACAGTAATCAGTATCATACTGTGACACATTGAAAGTACTGTGACATTGAAAGTACTGTGACAAACAGAATGATGAAGATACACATGAACATATATATATATACACATATATATATATATATATATATACACATATATATATATATATATATACACATATATATATATATATATATATATATATATACACATATATATATATATATATATGTATATATGTGTGTGTGTGTGTGTGTATATATATATGTTTCCATGGAAAAACTTTGTCTTTTTATATACAAATACACATATACTTTTTAGTAATTTTTACTTTTTCTGGCATCAAGCCAATAAAAAATCCCTGCCACTCTGTTATAGTGGTGATTGTCAGATAAATTAAAAATTATAAGAGTTGTGTGAAACACTTGTCACAAGGTCCATAGTGGACATGTCTCCAATTCTGAATTATAGAGAGAAAGACATAGAAATGTTTCCAAACCTTTTGGGCTTATACTGAATTCTGGAGATACTCCTTTTCATGAAGTCCTAAGATACTGTAGTACAGTATCTGAACTGCCTGTTTTAATCAAGAGCTCTTATCTACCTGAAAGAGTTTCAAACCCTATTTCCTTCCTTTGGACATCTCAGGAGTCTCTATATTAAGTCATATAAGTTGTAATGTAGCATTATTATTTCTAAAGTTTACAACCTTATGAAACACAAAAACGTGTATATAAAAGTAGACCACAAATTCATGTCAACAAGGAAAACAGAATTTGTTTTGACATGAAAACAATTCATCACGACTCTTTGCAGCACCTTGGTTGTCAGAGTTGCCTGGATTGCAAAAATCTGCTTTGTTCATTAATCAAGTCAAAGTAGAATCACCATCTACTTTAAAGGCACTGAGAACCGGCTCAAGGCAGAGGCACAATTTTCCCTGTGATAAACATATTAAAAATTTCACTGAGAAAACGATTTCAAAATTCTAGGTATTTTTTCTATGCTATTTTCCCTCATAATTATATTCATTCTTCTACTTTTCCATTTCATATTTTTATTTCCCTATTTACCACATTAAGATTAAGCATGATCATACATTTGGAATTTCTTTGTTAAATGTAGACGGCTCTGACAAATAGCCAAAGCCAATATGTAGTGCTTCTAGACTTCAGAAAATAATCCAAAAAAGTATGAGTAGAGTAACAATAATTTTCACTATGTAAATGGTAGGATCTGGGAAAAAGATGCTATGGGCTTACTTACTGATCATTTCCATTTTCTGCTGTGCCTAGGAGAAACAGGAGTTGGTATTAGAGTTGCAAAGAAATTGGCTACCAAAAATATGAGCCCCCCAACTCCCTCACCTGCCACCCACTATTTTCTATGCAGAGATATTTCTAAGCCATTTTAAAATCTTTAAATTTTCCCCCTGGCAAACCATTTCCTCTGGTATTGTTAATATTTATCCTGGCATTCATGGGATAATCCTAATTAGATCAACTCCACTAAACTTAGTTCTGGACTAATCTTGATTTTGTAGTTTCATATGACTATGAGGAATTGCTGTTCATTATTGCACAATCTCATGGACAACAGAAAATGTCTGTTTATTTCAGCATCTCTGAAAAAATTCTATTAAATGTATTGAAGTTTTTATACCAGAGAACTGAAGTTTTGACTTCCCTTTATACATTGTTCTTTCTGGGGACACAAATCACTGTGTTTGTGGCGAGCTACAATGTCGATACTATTTCTAATTGCATCTTAAACCTACTGATTGAGCCTCTCAAAAGAGCCCTGCAAAATGTCGCAGAGGCTACTAACTGCAACTTATGTTTTCTACTCTTTGCCAGGCCGTTTCACAACTGTCTGACAGAAAACACCTGGGGTTTAAGAGGGAACTCAGAATGATTCATTCTGCACAAGGACATGGCCTCTCTAGAGTGAACGCTGGTGATCAAATCTTGCATTAATCTATGGCCAATCAGGCCAGCTGTTCAATGTGATTGCGTAAGGTCCCCTTTGCTGTGCTCCTTTGCTCTGGTTTTATTCCATTGCTATTCAGCTTCTGTTTCTTAGATTTCCTCTCATATCTAATCTAAATCTTGTCATTGAATATGCCCGTTGACTATAATTCTCCTGGCTTTGGCTATCCTTGTTTTATAAAGACCTTAACCTCCACTAATATTTTGGCTGCTTCTATTTCTGTCATCTTAGCTAAGATATCCCACCATAACTTTGATCCCTAGGACTGAACCAATGGCACCATATGCTGCTCATCAATTAGACCTAACCTCATCTTTGCTCCATCACAGCATTTTTTGATTATGTGTCATATACAATATCACCTGTGATGCTAATAGCCCTGTTTTAAAATGAGTTGATTTTTAAAAAATATATAATTTTTGTGGTTATATAGTAGGTGTAGTTATTTATGGGGTAAAAGAGAGATTTTGAGCCGGGCGCGGTGGCTCAAGCCTGTAATCCCAGCACTTTGGGAGGCCGAGGCGGGTGGATCACGAGGTCAAGAGATCGAGACCATCCTGGTCAACATGGTGAAACCCCGTCTCTACTAAAAATACAAAAAATTAGCTGGGCATGGTGGCGTGTGCCTGTAATCCCAGCTACTCAGGAGGCTGAGGCAGGAGAATTGCCTGAACCCAGGAGGCGGAGGTTGCGGTGAGCCGAGATCGTGCCATTGCACTCCAGCCTGGGTTAACAAGAGCGAAACTCCATCTCAAAAAAAAAAGAGAGAGATTTTGATATAGGCATGCAATGTGTGATAATCACATCATGGAAATGGTGCATCCATCCCCTGAAGCATCCTTTGTGTTACAAACAGTCCAGTTATATTCATTATTTTAAAATGTACCAGTAAGTTTATTACTGACTATAGTCACCCTGTTGTGCTATCAAATACTAGGTTTTATCAATACTTTATATATTTTCGTACCCATTAACCATCTCCACTTCCCCTCCAGTACCCTTCCCAACTTCCAGTAGCCATCCTCTTACTGTCTAGCTCTAGCTCTATGAGTTCACTTGTTTTGATTTTTTAGCTTCCAGCAATAAGAACATGCAAAGTTTGTCTTTCTTTGTCTGACTTATTTCACTTAACATAATGACATCCAGTTCCATCCACGTTGTTGCAAATGACAGGATCTCATTATTTTTCATGGCTGAATGGTACATCACTCTATGTAAGTACCATATTTTCTTTATCTATTCATCTGTTGGTGGACACTTAGGTGGCTTCCAAATCTTGGCTATTGAGAACAGTGCTGCAACAAGCATGGGGATGCAGGTATTTCTTCGATATAGTGATTTCCTTTGTTAGTCGTATATACCCAGCAGTGGGATTGCTGGATCATATAGTAGCTTTATTTTCAGTTTTTTGGGAAACCTCCAGGCTGCTCTCAATAGTGGTTGTATTAATTTACATTTCCACCCACTATGTACAAGATTTCCCTTTTCTTCACATCTTCTCCAGCAAAATGTATTCACATTTTTATATGCTGTTTTAATATTTTTTTTCCCTAAGAAACCATAGCAATAGTCTCATTAGCAGATAGATGCATGCCAACAGACTACTTTCCACATATATGCCATTCTTATTTGGTTAATGCTAATTCCACTGCCAACCTTGTGCAAATAAGCTTAATTTCATACTGAAATCTCTGATTCATGCTGTCTTCCAAAGAGCAGAATGGGTTTACTAATTTCCCAAACTAGATAGTCTCATTCACATGCTTGAAGAGTGATTAACTGCAGGTATTTAATGGTGCTAATTTAATGATAGCAGTGCTATAAATTCTGTCCGAGAAACATAGCTGACAATCACCAAAAAGATTTGGCTAATTGTACAATTGCCAAACTTGACTTTAAAATACTCATGTCTTCAGATAACTATCCATAGTGGTAGGAATTTTACACATCCACAGAGGTCTCTTAAATAGAAAATGTCAACTTTTCAAATAACGTATTCTTAAATCTTCCTATGCAAAGTAAATTTCTAGTATAGCATATTTTTACAAATAAATTTAGCACATTAATTTTTTGACCTATTCTATACATGCAACACCACAGGCTTCAATTTGGATTAGCTGATTTCCATAAAAGACAGGATTGGAAGCTCAGAAACTTACAGAAATTAAACTGATTTATAAAAATGCTGTTTCCCTTCTGAAAACTGAACAAGGAGGCATATTTCAGACAGTAAGAAATTTATTCACTGATTCCCAAAGGAAAGAGCATTGATTTGTTTTTACTTTTCATCAAGATCTAAAATGAACTCTGCTGCTTTGGTCTCCTAGCTTCTCCTAGTACTGTCGCAATCATATTACAACTGTCCCTGCAATGTGTGCTCAGTAGGTGACTTTAAGGATAGCATTCATTAGTGTCCTGGGGCACATTGTCCATGAGGTAAACAAATAATAATACAGCCTATACAACATATAAAAATAATTGCTTTTTACCTTTTAACAGTTTATGAGACTTAGATAGAGATATTTTTAGTGAACATACGTATAATTAAAGTGACAAAAGATAATTCTATTTACTGTACATTTAAAAATGTGACTCAATATGCATGTAGCAAGGGTCTGCAATATAAACAATATGTGACTTTGACTTGGAGAGGTTGCCTCTCCAAGTGGAGGGTAGGCACATGGAGAAGTAAGTAACTATACTATGGCATGATAAATAACATAATCCAAATCTGTAGTATTACAATTAAAGGGACAATTCATTTTGCTTGAAGAAGTGGCGTGTTATAAAACACAGTAAATTTGTGTTTGAGTTGAGTCCTAATGGGTAACTTGGAGATTAGGTGTGTTATGAAAGGTAAGAGGTGTGCTGGATATTTCAGAAGGAATAGTATGGCTGAGGGCATGGATAATGATACGACATTATACGACGAGGGTCGGGTTGTGAAATAGAAAGATAGTTTGGAATTAAGGTAATGTGACAGCTGAGCCATGGGAGTTGAAGGGGTATTTAGTGAAGGTTGACTACAGAAAAGCCAAAGTTCCTGGAACAGAAAAATGTCTGAATAAAGACTAAAAGAAATCAGAATTTAGTTAGCAATAATTTATCAGTATTAGTTCATTAATTGTGACAAACATAGCATCAGATCCTAATAAAGGAATAAGGGAAACTAGGTGTGGTGACTCCCTGTACTGTCTTTGCAACTTTCCTGTAACTTTAAATCTATTCTAAAATAGAAAGTACATTTTTAAAAAGAATAAAAAATATAACATGGTCATGGAAGATACTTTCATTGGGTGTGTCTCCAAGAAGGAAAATTAGTCATAGAACTTTTAAGACAATAGGTCCCTGTGCTGAATTCTTAGCAATCCCTCTCTTTATTCTCTGTTACATAGAAATGGGAGTTAATCTTTACCATAGACAAAGTATGTCACTTTTATGCCCTCTTTACTACCATATTCCCCTGACCACCCACAAAATTTGGGCTATTTTATTAAAAATAATTTGCCCACATTTGATATTATCTATGAATAGTAGTTAATCCCCACTCTGCAATTCACTAGCATTGAGTGGGTGTCTGTGTCCTTTGTCCTTCACTTCTGTGATCAGGAAATAACAACATTTCATTCCTTTCTATAACTCTTCTCTCCCTTTAAGAATTTAAAATCAGATTTAAGCTAAGCATATATTCTTTCTTCTTTCAGGAAAACAAAACAAAACACTGTTACCTACCTGGGTCTGACTTCCAGCACACTCGGTACAAACTCACCAAAACAAATACTGAAAGTGTTATTACAATCAAAGCAATAACCACTGGCAAAATAATACCTAAAAAGAATTGGAGATATTATCAATTAGAGTGGCTACTGAATTTCACAGAGGTAGTTCAGTAAGTGAGCAAAGGCATGAGTGCTTCCTTTCTTCTTTAAACATCATTCTGTTAAAAACACTATATTTTAGGCAAAGATTTATCTGATGCAGGGTTTTGCTCTAGTTGTCATTTTTGACGTAACCACTTGATGTCAGTCTTGTTACCCTTCTGAAACAAAATTCCAACCTTAAGAGAGGGCCCCCATCTTCCTGGAGACTGAAGAAGTGGGGAGATGAAAGACTGGAGAAGCAGAAGATGTACTCTGGGTTATAATTAAACCCACATTCACTCATTACATTTTTTAGTACTTTATAATGAAGTTACTGGGAAAATATATATAACCCAATTGGGATTGCTCTAGTCCTAATGCTGGCTTTCTAAAATACAAATTTCTTTCTATAATAATATTTTAAAACTAGAAAGGCATAAAATAAGTAGATATCACAGTGAAGATGATTCTTAAAAATAAACATGATTCAAGAGAGATATGTGTATGTGTGTCTGTTTGGGGGAGTGATGCTGTTGCAGTAACTTAGGGTGAGTTTTTTATATTTGTATTAAGAGGAAGAGTATTTCCTTTCCTTTCCTCCCTTCCTTCCTTCCTTCCTCCCTGCCTCCCTCCCCCCCTTCCTCCCTCTCTCCCTCTTTCCTTCCTCCCTCCCTCCTCCCTCCTTCCTTCCTTCCTTCCTTCTTTTCTGATGGTCATTTCCAAGGTTTAAAGTACAGTGATAGAATCAAGAGAGCTGTCATAGACATACAACTAAAGGAAATTAAGATGATATTAGTTTAACATATTTGCTTGCATAATACTCCTTATATATTTATCAGGGGTAAGAATTATTCTCCAAATTCTTCTGCAGGATGGTTTACACTATTGTCAAAGACAAATATTTCTTTTAAGTAAGTTCTGCTGATTTCCTAATAGCTCTTAAGCGAAATCATTATTGCCTTCCAAAATAAAGATGCCATGAATCAGCAGGTCAGTAATTTCTCTGATGACTTGGGTTTACCCAAACTTAAGAGAGCCTTTTACACTAACAGTTTTGAATCTATTCTTTTCATTCTTAATTACTAAGGAAATTCTTTAATATTCTGTATTCAGTCTTAGCACACACATAAATGTTATGTGACTTATACATGTTTTAGTTAAAATGGAACATTTCTTACAGGCCATTTTAAATGTTAAGATAAAGTTCTATGAAAGCAAACAATTCACTTTTTGGTATAATTTACTTTATCATTTTAATTATTTACTTGACAAAAATGAAATATATTCAAGGCATACAGCCTTATAACTTGGGAATAATTCACTTTTATGGGGACCTCTACCTATGCACTTTGGCTTATCTGTAATAGTCCCATCAAATCATCCTTGGCCCTTGATGGTAATTGCTAAATACTAAGCTAAGAAAAAATTTGCCAAAGTGTGCTTCGCCCCACCCACCTTTTTGTTGTTGTTGTTTGGTCATTAAGACCAGACTCACTTCTGGGAAATTTTCAGAGCAGGCAGCAGTTAGCTAGGATTGCAGTGGGATTGCAGGCTCAGTAAAGTTGAGTAAAGGCTTCCCATAATCTAATTCCTCCCCTTTACCGGTCACATTAAAACATTCTGCCTATCTACAACTGTGAATGAAGATATTGCTGCTACTCACTGGAATACGATGGGCTGGCTGCTGAAGCACTTGCATTTTTTCCATTCTCAGTGCCTATTATTTTAAGAAAGAAAAAAACAGTCACTTTTGTGCCAACCCCTGCAGTCCTCCCTCCACCCTCATTTAAGGAAGCAGCCATGACTTGTAGGTAGGATGCTGCAGGTGCACAAGATCCAGTCTCATTTGGAAGGAGCTTTGTTTCGTGAGTCAAGATTGGTAGGGTTTCCTTGGTGAGAAAGGGTCAAGTAGAGCTGATTTCCACCTAGGCACACAGACATCATACCTTGAGACTGTAAAGTGCTTTCTGGAATTGTTACTGGCATCGAGTGTAATGTACCAGTTTTAGAAGATGATGCATCTGGTTGTCGAGTGCTACCTGTAGGAAAATTACAAATCCAGAATCAGACTCTGGTATTAAGTCTTTATATGAGATTTTTTTTGCAGATTCAAACAGTTTGCCTTTCTGGAGATCTGTGAAAACTAGTATTGTTGAATAATAGGATACATACAATCACAACAATAAACTATAAGTTCATCTACTCCTCCTGGAAAGATGATTAAATTTAGACTCACAAAGCCTGAGTTATCAGTTTTAGATCTTCGGAAATGGCCAAGAAAACTTGAGCAAGTTTTTTAGCATAGGTTACAGCCTGTATAACCTGCTGTATAAGATTCTCGTGGAATGTGAATCTATGCAAAAGCGTTTTTCAAATTTCAGATATTAGAACTTGGGTGATAGTGTTATTTTTCTATCACATAGTTAAAATGATCATAACTGCACAGGACTTCAGATTTTATAGTATTTATCAGTGACTGAAGAGATAAAAATTGCAGTTGAGGCTTTGGCTAGAAGAACTGAGGAAAAATCAAAGAAGACTCCTTCATTTTCATCTCTAAAGTTCAGCAGCCGGTTTTATTATGTGCCGTTTCTAGAGTAACTTCTGCTTGGCTGTTTTTCCATTAGTGTCCATGTTCTTTCCTTCCAAGGAAAAATCGAAATTAAAAATTTATTGTTATTGTTATTTGTTTAGTTAACATTTGCCATCTTCAAACAGAAGGACTGCAACAAAAATTATATGTAAAAATCGACTACTCAAAATCCATAGCTGTCAATAAGTTTAAAGGAATATAAATAATTAAGTATTATATAAGTTGAAACCATTTTTTCTTGTGAATTTGGGATAAAGTATAATTTGTACTTAGAACATTTTTTGAAATTTCATTCCCTTTCTCTTGCAGTATGAAGTGCTCTATTTAAATTATGCCCGTTTGCCTTGGTGCTTCACTGAATTGCAAGTCCCTAGAGTGTGAGGGCCATGCTTGTCACCACACCCCACATGGAGCTCTGGCCACAGGGGGTGTGCAGTCAAATGGAGCTGACAGCTTGGCTGAACTAAGAGGCACCTCTTATGATATGGCTCCTTGGGCATATTGAGGCCATGTATAATTACACCAAAGAAACTGATATTTCTATGACTGCCTTGGCTCCTTCCTTCTTCACCACCCACATTCCAGCACGCACTGCATGCTCATGCATTTTTGACATCTGTGGGTGAAGAATAATGTTTAGAGTCTGTACCGTTCTTGCCATGCAAGAGATCTGTGGGTGGAAGCTAGATTTATGCCCATAAGAACAAAGAAAAATGTCAGGCTAGCACACTAAGCAGGCAGAAAAAGGAATATTAAATGAAAGAGTGGGAACTAGCTGAAACCTTGGTACTTTCAGCTGCCTTTTCCAGTGTCAAGAAGTTTAGTGAGGATGAATGCTCTTTCAGTTGTCTTGGTGGAGAATAAGATGGCTGATTAAACAACCAATGATGTTAATCCTCTTGGAATTTCCCAAGAGTTAATTATCCTAGCATATTACCTTCTTGTAGACAGGCTAAATGGCAGCCTCAGGACTGACTGTGATCTGTCTGGGTCAGAAGAAGCTCCCAGCTTCCCTGATTCAAACATGTTGATTGCCCAGTGTCAGTGGTTACCAGAATGACCCATAGATAGGCCAACATGTGAACTCCTCAAAGTGGAAGGATTTGATGGCTCCTTGAACAAATGCTTTAAGCATTTGTTTTGTTTTTCTTTAAACTGCAAACTTCTGTTGAGAAATTATTTCTGAATCCAGCAGACACACACACACACACACACATTACTGGTCATGACCCAATCATGGGAATTAACCCACAGTTTGAGAGCTCTGTTTTTCAGCATGATCATATTGCTGAAATTACGGTACTTGGCTGAATCCACAAAACATAAGCCTAATGTTATTCTTTCTGTGACTAAGATGGGGAATCCATGACATGCTCAGAGCTGATGCTCTACACAGTTTTCATTGAGAGCATATTATTCTACATTACTAACAAAATAGCATTGCCAGAGGAAGTATTGGAGAGATATAGCAGAGTGGCCAAGAGCATGATTCTTAAGACAGGGCAGCTGGGTTCAAATCTGACTCTAGCACTTACCCCTGTGGAATCTTGGGCAAGTTTCTTCACCTCTTTGTGCATAAGTTTCCACATATATACATGGAGATTATAATAGTTGTACATCATAGTATTGTGAAAATTATACGAGTGAAAATAAACTGCTCAGAAGGGCATGTAATATTAATATGTATATATTATATATAATAATAATGTTCTACTATTATATTATGAAGATGCCCCTAGAGATTCAAATGTCCCAAGCAAGGTCAGTTTGTCTAACTTTCTCAAAAATTCTATGGGTGAAAATACATGGACTTCATGTCTGTGTTTTCAGATGCTTCTTTGCTCTAATCACCAAATACAGGAACTGGAGAAACTGGAGTAGAATATGGTATTCTTAGATGACATAGGTTTGTTCTCAGACCCTGACTTTTGGTGATTGTTATGAATATTGAATTTGTGGCTATGTTGTTTCGGGATTTAAGTCCAGTCTGGAAACTTCAGATCAGAACTTGGAGCAAGCTAATGAGGCAGAGACCCTCAGAGTCAAGTCTGTTGTAATAATGTATAACCACATTTGGACCTCACTGTAGACCAATTACTTAATAAATCATTGAGAGTTTTAAAGACAGAAGACCTGTCAATATCCCAAGGTACCTGTGCTGTAATAATGCTCCTCATATAACTCAAACTATAGAGAATGTCAGTGACCAAATTACCCACATTTCCTCTGAAATCCATCTCTGTGTTTGCACTGGTACCATGTCTCTCTTAAGGTTACTCCCAGCCAATGAGTGGACCTGCCATTCATTGGCAGGTTCCTGGCTTGTTCTTGGGAGAAATGTGGGTTGCAGGATTCCCTGATGGTCTTCCTGAACCTCCTCTAGAATGCATGGCCGCCCAGGTGCTTCTGCTCAGGATCCCTGCTCTCTCCCGCCATCATATGGTCAGATGTGTATTGCAGTCCGGTAGCTCTTCCAGACTGTCCTTGTCTCCTCACAGCCACTTTTTCTCACACAGGCATTTTCTCCTAATAAAATCCTTGCACTTTTAATTGCATCTTGAACTCTGCTTCTCTGAAGATTCAGATTAAAGCAGTCTCCCTGGCAAGTATTTAAAAGACTACTTCCTATTGGGAGCAGAAATGAAGCCCCAGAAACTTTAAACTGGACATGGAAGACTTGGGCACTGATTCTTAAGGGAAATATCTGTTTGTCTAACACGTTTGTTTTCCCCTTTTTTGGGAAGCCTAACTCTTCCTGTGGAAACTTACTCCTTCCTCCCTTCATGTGGTCATAAGAGATGCTCCTTCTTACTCCAACCTCAAGCCCACTATATGACCAACGTTCTCTCCTAATAATTTGAGTGTGTAGTGATTTTGAGTTATTCTCAGAGTGAAGCTCTGAAGGGACTATCTATGGGTAAACAAAGTCCCTGAAATTACTAGGACGCAATCCTTTATTCTGTGAGTTTCCCTCCCAAATTTTTTCTAGTTAAAATAAATCTTGGGCCAGGTGTGGTGGCTCACACCTGTAACCGCAGCACTTGGGAACGGGTTTCTAATTGCAGTTTGATAGATTATTTATGTCCCATTTAAGAAAAAATAACTTTTCCACTTTTGATACAAATCTTTTTCTCCTGCTTATCACATTTTCTTTATGTGACTACCAAGAGAGCAGACTGTATTGATTTTTTTTTTTTCTTTTTGGTCTCATTGGTTGGTTGTTCCTTTACTTCTTTTTTTTAAAAAATATTTTTAATTTTTCTTTTTTTTATTGAGACAGGATCTTACTGTCAGTTTCAGGATCCTGCTGTCAACTTCAGGCTGAATTGCAGTTGTGCAATCACAGCTCCCTGCAGCTGTCACTTACTGGGCTCAAATGATCCACCTGCTTCAGCCTCCTGAGTCGATAGGACCACAGGTGTGTACCACCATGCCCAGCTAATTTTCTTATTTTTTCATAGAGATTGATCTTGCTGTGTTTCTCGGGATGGCCTCAAACTGCTGGCCTCAAGTGATCTTCCCACCTTGGCCTTTCAAAGAGCTGGGATTATAGGCATAAGCCACCACATCTGGCTCCTCTTCTTCTTTCTAAATTATAATCTTGGAATGACCCCCAGGGTTTAGTCTTTGGTCCTCATCTCTAATGACCCTCGTTTATTTGGAGATTTCATTCAATTTTAAGGCTTAAACACATCAACGTCACTGATTCCCCAACTTACACTTCCATCCCAGGCCTTTTTTTAAACTCCAGATTTGTAAATCCAGACACTTACTTAGCAAGTAATAAATATTTTGAACTCAACATATCCATACTTTAACTTCCAGGCTATCTGATGCCTTCCCATCCTAGTTTAGAGCAGACATTCTTTTGAATTGCTCAGGCCAAAGACCTATTTTTGATTCATCTCTTTCTATTGTCTTCCACATGCAATCATCAGGAATATTTATTGGCTTCATCTCCAAAATAAATCCAGACTTTGGAGATTTCGTACCATTTACTCTGTGATCACCCTGGTTAAAGCCACCATCTTCTCTCTCCTAGATAATTTATCCTTTTTTCAGTTGACAGTGTCTCTTCAGCATCTGAGTTATAAAGCATGAGTCAGCTCATGTAATCCTGTGAGTCACCATTCCATGAAGAAAAAAAGCCGAAATCCATGTGATAACCCACAAAACCCTAGGTAATCTGTCTGGAAAATCCCCTGCCTCATTTCTGCCCACTTACTTAAGGCTGTCCCTTAAACATGCTAGGCCTCTCCTCAAGTCCTAGCTCTGCCTGGATGTTCTTCCACCTCATATTGGGTGGCTCACTTCCTTCTTGTATTTACTCAACCGTTTTCTGGGAGACTTACCTTGGTCACATTTTTAAATCTTGCAAACCCTTTTCCACCTTGTGATCCCGTTCTCCTCTATTGCTGCACATTTTCTCTTTCTCAGAGCACTTAC